TGCCTCACCAAATACAAAAGCAATAGCAAAGAGAAGGTGAGAAAGGAGCGCTTTTGTTTTCTGCATGACCTGGGTTCCCAACGCTTCATAAGTTAATGGTTGCTGTTAGACACGGGGCATGGTCACAAGTGCGTGTGACAACAACACTTGAGGGTGGAGGGCTGATCAGCCAGTCCAGCCAGGTCCCTGGGCCTCTGGGACTCAGACAAGGTTTTAGGAGCTGAGTGTGGTGGAACAGGTAGATAGAAGGTGCCCCCTCGGTTCTTTTTTCCTACCTTGAGGGCACTTGTCATCTATTTTTTGATGTTTCCCCATTTCCTTGTACAGTAAAGGACAGGCAGAGACTCCTCGTTCTTTTGGAGGGACAGGGAACCCTGTTAGTGTTGTGGAACTTCAGTATTGTTATTCTTTCATGAATTAGCTGTTCTCTTCATGGTCTTCTTAGTGCAGCAGGCATGGTGGTATTGGGCTCCTGCTTAGGTCCTCATGGAAATGTTGGGCCTTTTGGTGTTCATGGGGTCCTGAAGGTAGTGATGGCAAGAGCAGGCTGGCGGTGGGGGGGGTGTAGGAGGAGGCTGGCAGAAGTTTACTCTTCAGACAGTGTTTCCAGCAATCTCCACAGCCGGCTCCTGATGGAGCAGACTCGGCTGAAGAGGAAGGTGGACATGCTGAGGCAGGAAAACAAGAAAGTGCAAGAGGATTGGGCCCTGCTGCAGCACCAGTTGGTGGACATGCAGCAGATCTGTGAGGACCAAGAGGAGGAGACCTGCAACCTCCAGACCCAGGAACTATACAAGGTCAGGGACCATTTGCCCATTGGACTTATCTATACACCTGAACTTTCACCTATTACCCTGCTTACTAATAGACACACCCAACCACCCGCCCACCTCATGCAATATGACCGTTCTTTTCTCTGTCAATGTACAGAAATTAGCCTAGTGTGAGAATGTCAATTACTGGCAGGCATACCCTGCTGTTCTGCTGAAGGTGCAGTCCAAACAGCAGCGTGGGGAATGAGATACCCCACGATTAGATGTTCTCTGGAAAGCTGGAGTGCAGTGTACCCGGATCATTGGAGCTCTCTGGGTCCTGTGGCTGTTTGGCCTGGCAGGGTCATGTGACATCACAGGTAGGAAGCAGCTGGCAAAAAGAAGAGCCTAGTGGTAATGCCAGATGAGTGTTTCTCATTGTCATCAATTTGGATATCGTGTGGCCTCCTCCATTCTTCCTCACTCCAACGTGGTCTCCTCTGTTGCCCAGCTCTTAGTTCACACTGACAGACGCCTGAATTAGAGTTTCTCAGCCCTGTTTTCTGGGAGTTATTTGGAGTGTTTATAATCTGGAGCTGCCTAGATGACAAGGGAAATGTGGAGGACTTTTGACAGTTTGATGAGGTCAGAGTCTAGAGACTTCAAAGGAAAAAATGCTCTACCCACCTCAACGTAGTCTGGCTAAGCAGAGCAAGCTCCTCACAGCTAGTTTCGTTCCCAAGGGATGGATAACAGAGTTGTGAGACCATTCTGAAAGAGCTTGTGTGCTGAGTCTAAACTCCATGCTCTTCTAGCATGAAGCCTCTGGGCAGGGTGGACAGTCGTGCAGTGTGCATTGGCGAGAGGAGGCCATTGGGCGTCTTTCACGTCAGTTTCTACCTTGCAACAGGGTTCCTCACTTGCCCTGAAGCTGCTGTTCTGGCTGTCCTGGCTGGCCAGCAAGCTCTGGGGTCCTCTGTGTGTGCTTGCTCCTGTATGACAGCGTGTGCACGCCTGTGTGCAACCCTCCGCTGAGAACACCATCTTGTCGTGAGCAGGAGCGGGAGACTGGAGAAACCCTGCAGAACGCCAGGAAGCAGAAGCAGCCTTCCAGGACTGAGCGTGAAGGCTGCAGCATCCACTTGAGGAGCTCCAGATGAGGTAGGAGCCCCGGCTGGGAGGAGAAGGTGAAGCCATCTGGGTCCCCTGCTCTTGGATTCTCTCTCTGTCTTTATGGGCTTTTGCTCATCAGCAAGGCTAAGAGCTACTCCTGGGAAAGAACACCTCAAAGTATTGTGCCGCTCCAGTCAACAGGAACTTCTGTCCAGGAAACAAGATGTTTGACACCTTCTGAGTCTTTAGTATATTCCTAGCAGGCTGTCCTTAAACTCGTGAGATCTGCCGACCTCTCCCTCCCAAGTGATGGGATCTCAAGGGCTGCACACCACACCAGGCTAAAATTTTACTTTTATTCAGGAACATCCCCTGATCTCTGCAGTGTTTACCCATTTCTGTGAGAAGGGTTCTCTGGAGAGACTAGGTTAAGGCGTTTCCAGGATGAAGCCAGGCAGATGTCTCTGCTACAGGGATGATCAGAACCTTGATGGGAATGTTCTGTAACACACTCCCATAGACAGCCAGCATGCAGTCTGCCCACCTCTAGTCCCTAGGAAAACAGAGCTTTCAGTGTGGTGCCAGAGCCTGTGCAGGGCCATTGTTGGCAGGCACACAACTCAGGAAATACTGCTCCAGCATGACAGGCTCCATCATGCATAATGCTTGGGTGCAAGGTGCCTCCTGAGCAGGAGGAATGAGCCAGCCTCATGACCTTGTTCAGGTGCCCAAGTTGCAAGGCTGTATTGTTTCTCTCTGTAAAATGATGTGATCCATCAGAGAGTCATCATGAATAACTTCTATTTCGATCTGATTATTAGGGTCCATGATTTTAAATAATGATGCCCTTGGACTGTAGGAGAAAGTCCTAGTCTTCGCAGCAGAACAGAGAACATCCAGTTCCTAGATCCAATTCTGACCTGCGTGTAAAATGGAAACATTTTGTAGGCCCAGATACTGTGTGACTGTTCTTTCTTGGGATTACAATGACTTCAGTTAAGAGATCAGTGTTGACTGTCCAGCACAGTTGAGGTGGTGGGAGGTAACAGCTTGAAGGCTGATATGGCAGGTCCCTACCAGGCCTGGGTCTTAACTGCCTTCCTCTCACAGGTCTGAAAAGCTGCGCCTTGAACTGGACCTGGCCATAGCCCATGAGGAGAGCCTCCTGCAGAAGGAGCTGCTGCACCAGGAGCCACCTGCTGAGCCCCAGGAAACACAGACTTTCTGGGAGGAATAGTCCTCTTCAGAATGGGTTTCCCTTGTGTGAACAAGCCCTGATTCTATCTAGCCAGTGAGCCAGCCAGGCTGCTTCTGGGTCTGATTCCCTTTGCTTTTGTGACAACACCCCTTGAGAGAACAGGTGTCTCCTTTGCCACTAAGTGTTCAAGACCAGCCAGAGGCTGTGGGTGTGTCCTGCTGAATCTGCAGGGAGAGAAGGCTGCTGAGCATCATTTTCTGTGTGGGTTTTGGTTTGGGTTTTCTTTCTTTGTTGGTGTTTCTTGTTGGTTGTTTTGATTTTGCCTTTCTTATTTGGATTTTACATATTCTTGTTATTGTTTTATAAAATTTGGTTAGGCTACTCGCTTTTTATATTGACTACCCTTTTAAAGACCGTTTTGGAAAAAAAAATGTGTTTTATTATGATTAAAAATGCAATTTCCAACGCTTTGCTCTTTTTAAAAATTCATTTGTTTAATACTTTACAGCCCAATGCCAGTCCTCTCCCTCCTCTCCTCCCCTCCCCTCTCTCTTTCTCAGAGAAGGGAAGGTCTTCCTCTGGTTTCAGGGATTGTGAGCTCTATCCTACCTTTCTAATCTTCCTTAATTCAGGAGGGCAGCTTCTTCCACCATGAAATGCCTTCTACCCAACTCTGCCCTCCTCAAGAGCTAACAGACCTCAAATCTCACTATGTAGTCCGTTACATCCCAGTCTCAACAGCTCTCCATCAATGTGTCTCAGTCCTCAGAGTCACCCTTTGACATATGTACCATTATTAGTCTTTCTACTGAGCAAATGGGGAAACGTGAGTTAAGGAGGAGCCAACAGATATGGCACAGAAGAAGGGGATTAATATTCATACCCATGGTAGAATGCAGCCTGGCATACTCAGATCCCTGGGTTCAGCCTTCAGCACTGAAAAAAAAAATCAAGCCAACCTGAAACATACACACACACACACACACACACACACACACACACACATACACACACACACACACACCTGTGCTAGCCACAAATTTCCAAAACCAAGTCTACCTGCTTTTCACCTCACTGTAACCTCCAGGAATGTTTCCAAAAGAATGTGCAGATCAACTCTTTGGAGTACTCCAGAGTTGAAAGACTTATTTGAATATCAGAGGAATGAAGGTTCTCTTCTATTCTTAGTTTACTTTGGTCTCAGAAACACGTGGGATTCCCAGAGACTGAGATGTGCAGGTGTCCCTGAAGGCTTTATGGCCAGAAGCAAAACAATCCAGGAAAAGACAACAAAGAAACTCTGTCCATCTTGAATTAGCTGTCCTTAACTGGTTCATACTTCTAGAGTCTGACGTCAGGTCCTTTATTTTAGTCATATTTAAACACAGCACTCTTTAGGAAAAAGAAAGTATTAGCTCACTCCCCTGTGTACCACAAAGCTTAAGACATGTTTATATGGAACCTCTTTTAAAGGAAATATGGAATCTCCCGTAAAGATAGGTAATGTTGATGCAGAAAGATTGCTCACGATTTAAGGTCTGGGAGAATGACTGAGGTAGGGTTTCACTAGGCCCTAAGATAATATAGAAGTCGCCTACGCTGTTGTAAACTACAAGTGGCATTTCTCATGATGATAGACTTAATAAATTCAGAAGCAATGCTCAAGATTTAGGGGAAAAGCATATTGGATAAACAAACATATTGTCTGGGTGATATGGGTGAAACCTGCCTCTACGAATTGCAAATGCTCATCAGACTGTAAATCATGTCTTTTCTCACCATGTCTGCTGGGAGACTAGTCAATATCTTTGAAGTTTAAATCTGCATGTTTAACTTTCTCTGGCTTCTCCAGTACTCATCTGTGTGCACAGAACCTGTTATGCCAGGATCACAGGCCCCTCAGAGACCACCAGGAGATGACTCTATGCAAGAGCAAGAGAGCTTCATTATGAAAGCAAAACTTGTGACCCAGGTCTCACTGAAGTGGGACCCAGAGCCCTGAGTGAGCAGGGTCTTTTTGTTTGTTTGTTTGTTTATTTGTTTTGTTTTTGAGCAGGGTTTTTTAAAGGGAAAAACCAGAAGCAGGGGGTTTCCATGAGAGCAAGCAGGGGTGTTCATGCCTTGACATGACAGGATTGGGTAAAAGCCATAGAGGTGAGGTGACCTTCTACATAATCACAATTGCCATTCTTCTAAATTACATCTGGAACTCTGGGGAGAATTTTCCCAACCGATTCTTATTGATTGTTGCCAGGGAGATTGTCTCTATTTTCTAGGAAAGTTAAGTTTGTTTTCTGCCAAGGGCACATTCTGTGATACCTGAGTTCAGCTCCTGGTCAGGATGGAAACTTATTTCAAAATGGAGTCACCCAGGCTAACTTAAACTCTTCAAACCTTTTGCTCTCAAAAGTGATTTTTTCAGCTCAGAGCAGATATATCTCTAGACTGTACATGAGGCACCAGAGAGGCATGTTGACATCCAGATTGCTGGGCTTTGGCACAGACTCTCAGGGCAGGCCCTCTGGGATACTAAACCTGCATGTGCCCCACGGAGACTCTTATCAGTAATACTCCAGTGAGCCAGGCCCCATGAAGACTCCTCCAGAAAGAGTCAAACAGGTTTGTGACTGTGCTTGCATTTAAGCCAGGGGAGTTTCCTCTGACTGCTACCTAAGCCCTTCATATCCCCAGGCCCAAGCGATTGCCTCCATGCTCTTGTCTGTGCTCAGTGGCAAGGGAGGGGACTGCCTGCTCTGGGAAACCTAGGTTGTCAGACAGACCAAGCTTTCAGCCACCCTAATCCTGTCATTTTTGGGTGACAGGTCCTGAGAACACAAAGGGCCAAGTCAGGTCATATTTCTACAGATTTCCCTGTCAACTTTCCCACCACTTTATGTTGAGGGATTTTATATAGCAACATGGCTTCTCTGGCAGAAATACAGACAGGCCTTTAATCCCAAGAGACAGAGGTAAGAAGGTCTCTGAGTTCAAGGCCAGGCCAATATAGAGCAAGTTTCAGGTAAAGAAAAGCTTAGGTCCAGGTGTGGTGGTACATGCCTTTAAACCTAACACTCAGGAGACTGAAGCATGCATATCTCTGAGTTCTAGTGTTTTTTTAAATTTTGTTGTTGTTGTTGTTCCAGGAAATTAGGTTGAGTCAATGAGTTAAGAGGCAATGCAGTGGATTTGAATTATCAGCAGTTCAGTTTATGGAATTCAGAGGCAGTTTTTACTGGGAGAGTTTTACAGAGAGAGGTTGAAGAGAGAGCAAGCTAGACACAGGTGAAGACAAAATGATGTAGAGAATGAGAAGGAGCCTGAATATTAGAACAGACTGCTAGAGTTAGTTTGAGGTTAAGAAAAGCAACTCAGTGAGAAACTGAGAGAAGCCAGATTGAATCAGTCAGCTGGGAGGGGAGTTTGAGCCAGAATGGCTGAGTTGAACTGAAGAGTTTAAGTTAGCCTGGGTGACTCCATTTTGAAATAAAGAGCCATCTTGACCGGGAGCTGAATTCAGGTACCAGGAAATATCACAGAATGTGCACCTGGCAGAAAACAAAGTTAGCTCTCCAAGCAACAGCCTCCAGGAAATAGCACAGAATAAATGTTTAGTAAAAAATAGAGACAATCTCCCTGGCAATTGTGATTCTGAAAACGGTCACTTCTCCCCTATGTCTTTTACCCAATTCTATAACGTCAAGGCATGAACCCCCCTGCTTTCTCTCATGGAAACATGTACCCCCCTGCTTGCTGTCATGGAAACTGCCTGCTTACAATATTTCCCTTTAAAAACCCTGCTCACTCAGGGCTCAGGGTCCCACTTCTCTACTGCTGTGTCAGTGAGACTTGGGTCCCGAGTGAGTTTGATCACTCTTGTAATAAAGCTCTCTTGCTTTTGCATCAAGTCATCTCCTGGTGGTCTCTGAGGGTCCCGTGATCCTGGTATTACAGAATCAGCCATCCACAGTTCAAAAAGATCTAGAAATGGTGATCTTATTCAGCAGTAAGTCTCAAAGACTGAAAATATTCTAGTTTTAAATTAGATTGTACAGTAGCTGGAAGCTTCCAGGACTAGGCCTAGCTTAGCAGACCAGGAAGCAGCAAACCTCTGAGACAACAGTTACATCTGGGGAATAAAGTTACTTTTATAAGTGTGAAGGTAGGCTTTTCTTTATTTTTATTTATATTATTGTTTTAGATAGGGTCTCGTGGACTTCAGGCTGGACTCAGACTCCTGCTCCATCTGCTTCTAGTTTTCTACTTCTGGGGATCACAGGCATGCTACCATAACCCCAGAGCTGGTGGTTCCTTTCTTGGATGTTCCTTTCAGTGACATCCCTTTCTGCATGCTGACAGTGTGGGAACGTTCCATAATTGTCAGCTAAATAAATAAATAAATAAATGAAGGGCAAAGGAAGACAGACTTGTTAACAGCTACAGGAATTCCAGCAGAAGAGCATGAGTGCTAAATGGTAGTGGAATGGGCCACAGCCAGCAGGGAAGGAAGGGCAATAGGCTTTGTCTCCCATGTGCTGTCACAGAGGTGTCCATGCTTCTTCACTGCAGGTATCTGTCCATTCAGAAAACATCAAAGATGCTGTGTACATTGTCATACATAGATTGATATTTACCTCTTCCCACACCATTGCAGAATATCCAGAGCACTTTGTGGTCCCCTCCCAAGCATCATGTTGGTAGTCTTCCTTTTCTCATCCAGCTTCTGTGTGAATCTATAGGGAGCCTTGCCTTTTCTACATCATTTGGTCATGAATGTCTACGCCATTAGACCTACAGTGTTTCGAGTTGTCTAGTTTTGAAATCTATGTCCAAAATTTTAGGTACATTTATTTGTGTATGGATATGTGCGGGTGGGGATGCTTCTGCCATAGCTTGATGTGGGTTAGGGGTCAACTTGCAGAAGGTGATTTTCTCCTCCTACTATGTCCATCTGAAGGGTCAAATATGGGTTGTCAAGCTTGACAAGTGCCCTTACTCAGCGAGTCACTTCTTCAGCTCCTGGTTTTGAAATTTCTATGCCT